GGACTGACAGGACCATGGTTTTGAAGGTGACTTGGTGAGCTAGTACAGGGGTAAACAAACCAAAGGCTGACACGTACTTTTATATGACCTGCAACCCAAGAGTGGGTTTTATGTTTTAAAAGGAATGAAAGAAAAAACACTATGTCACAGAGGTGACATATAGCCCACAAAGCCAAAAATACTATCTGTCCCTTTATGGAAATAGTTTCCTGGCCTCTGATCTTGAAATACACCTGATTTGTCTGGAATTACTGTGCTTGTTGTAGCTGGGAAATTATCTGTTTCCCTGAACCATTTAACAGGCTCTCACTAGACAGGCGTCTCTTCTCTTCCTTCAAAAAGAATTGTCAGGCCCGAGTTTCAGAGGAGTTTGAGTGACAAGTGAGCCTTTTCTGGGCTCTTTGGCCCTTGTTGTATCTCACACAGATAACCAGATACAAATGAGTTGTTTCTTTCCATTATAATCCTTTGCCAGAGCTCTGTCAGGATGACATATCTGGTCCTCAGATGTCGTTCAGGACAAGGCACTTAGCATATTTCAAGAATGTTAATTGCTAAGTGAGGCTTTAATACTGTCCTTAAGTTGCCTTAAGTGTACATGGCCTCAGAATTTTACAATTGTGGAAAGGTCTACAAGATCATCAAGTATAGTGCGGCCATTGAAATCACAGGCAAGGAGCCAGACTGCATGGCTCTCCCACTAATCCACCCTGTCTCAGTTTCCTTACCTTGAAAGTGGGGCTAATAATAGGACCTGTTTCACAGGCTGCATGAGCATTCAACCCTGGAACAGAGTAACATCAGACTGTTAACTTGGGGAGCACAGGACTGCCTACAATGCTGGAGATGCTCAGAAACACTGCTGTTTGTTATTAGTGTTTGTCTTGGTAGTAGCACCAGCATACTTTAAGAAATGGAGGGCACAAGGGTTATGGGCTGCTCCTTAGGAAAGGGACAGCTTGTGTATATTCAAGCCTGATTCTAGACTTTCAGTTGAATGTTCCTTCCCTGTTCTCTTGGGTTGCTTTCAGTTGTATTAATAGAGTTGGGTGTTTGGTTTTTTTTTAATAGAGAGAAATGTTCGGTAACTTTTTGCATAAAACTTATTTTGTATAAAAAAAAAACGAAGTAGAAAACCACTGATCAATTTTCCTGAGAATCTTTATTTTTGTTTTGTTTGTCAGTAATGAGTTTTGAACTTGAGGCCTTGAGCTCTTGTTTGGTTTTCTTGCTCCCAACTAATGCTCTATCACTTGAGTCACACCCTAATCTGGAATTTTGCTGGTTATTTTGGAGGTGATGTTTCAGGGATTTTTCCTCCTTGTTGTCTTTGATTCTCTAGATTGTAGTTTTCTGACTAGTTGGCTAGGATTATGGGCTTGAGCTACTGGATCCTGGCTCTCCTGAGGATCTTTTATTTTATTTTATTTTATTTTTGAAGATACTGTACAGAGGGGTTACAATTACATGGGCAGGATAATGCGTACATTTCTTACCAAGCATTGCAGCCTCCTCCTTTTGTTTACCCTTCACATCCCTTCCCAGC